GGTGCTTAAAGGAGAAAGTCTCCAACAAGGATCTTTTCTGGGGCAAGTGATGTCGCTCACCTCATGAACACTGCTGTCTACACCTGGCTGCTCCTGCTGTGTACTGAGGAAGATGGTGCTGAGGAGCCCGAAAATGAAGGAAGGCAAGGGAGGTAGATATCTCAGCCCAGCCGGGTGGCAAGGCCCGAGCAACTACCAAGGAAGCCTTGCTGTACAGAAGACCCCAGGACCCCTACACCTGTGACCCATTAGCAATGGGATGGGAACCTTCTGGCCATCTTAGACAGAGGTGCTTAGACAGAGGAAGACACTGAGGCCAGAGCCTGCTGGGAGCCTGGGGCCCAGCAGCTCCTCACACTCTCCAAGGGGATCTGTGGGTTTCCAAATGCCACCCTATGAGCAATGAGCCTGTGCTGTTGCTCAGGGTAAACAGAGGCACAGCCAGTCAGCATGGAATGGGAGGGGATGAAGAGCCAAGGGCCCTCAGGGAAGGCATGTGGTTGTCTGGGCTTTGTCTCCATGTGGATGCATGGTGTGTCCTGAGTATCAGCTGCAGAATTCTCCACGGTGAACCTAAGAGCCATGAGAGCCCTACACTGTTAACTGGGCTCTTTGGGCCAGTGACCATTACTCAATATATCCTCTGTCGTCTGGGATGACAGAATCTTTGGCCCACTTCCTGTGATAGTGGAATGTCTCACTTCTGTGTTTTACACCTGTGTTCTGTGTCTTGCGACTGTCTGTGCATGGCCTGGCCATGATCCTGTGGTGTGGCTTCTTGGGTGTCTGCTCTGTAACATCACTGTGACATACTGGGAGTGAAGGGAAGGCAAAGGCCACTTACAGGCCACAGTCCCACCTTTGACACGAAGGCAGAAGTCTTCCTGAAAAGTTCATATTCAGGACCGTTTTCCTGAATTCAGTTCTGTAAGTCTAATGGAGAAGGTATTAAATCAACTTTGTTTTATTAACTAGCAGTGATGGGAATTGAACCCAGGGCTTCTGCATGCTAGGTAAAGACCTTACCATTGAGCTGCATCCCAGCACTTTTCATTATTTTGAGACAGGGTCTAACTGAGTTGCTCAAGGTGGCCTCAAGCTTGTGATCCTCCTGCCTTGGCCTCCCAAGTACAGAAATGGGCCATGCCCAACACAGCATATTTCCCATGTTCCCCACTCCAGAGTTTCCCTGCTGGTGCTGGCTGTGCAAGACGTGTATGTGGCACCCTGATGACTCACATACAATTAGAAATCAGGATGGTCGCCATCCCTGCCACTCTCACATGGAGCTCAACACACGGAAGCTTTGTCCTCTAAAGCAGGAGTGATACAGGAATAGGACTTCTAAACAATAAGACACTCACAAAAGATATACCAGAATCTTGTGGGAAGGCACGTCCCTCGATTGCTTATAATACAATGACAGTTTTATAATAGTTCTATAAAGTGACGTGAGGGTTATCACCTGCTTTCTGGAGTCCTGACTGGATCAAGGCCACTGTACTGCCTTGGAATGAAGAGCTGCTCCATCACCTGCCCTGGAGCCCCACCCACTGCAAAGCCTTTCTCTAAGACGGCACTAGGTGCCAGACCCTCCCCTCTGCCAGGGCTTCTGTTGGTAGGCGGTTCCTTGTGGATAGTGCCCCCTACTGGGCTACATCCAGGAGTTAAGCTTTTTAAAAGGCACTTTCCCTGAAGAGGAACACTGAGAGTTGCTGGTGTCTGTGCTGGGTCATTCCACTCCACATAATGTTGTTCTCCAACCCTCTGCTGCAACAACAGGGCTTATTCTTCCTCATAACACACTTGCACACACATGCACACACTTGCACATATGCTTTCCTTATCCACTTATCCTCTGGTGGACCTGAGGCTGGTTCTGTCATACCCTGAATTGAGAACAGTAATTCCTAGAGGCTGGAGAGTGTGGTGGGTAGGAGGCCAGAAATGATCAGTGTACTCTACATTTGTTGGAACATCACACTGATCCTCCCTGACAGGTACAACTAGTCTAGGTGAGTCAAACATCAAATATTTCAAAAACACTGGCTGAGAAAAGGAAGACAAACGTGACAAAAACTAAAATCAAGGTTGGAATCAGAATGGGTGAAGTTTGCAGGACCCAGCCTTGAGCCTCGGGCTGCAGCACAGGCCTGATACAGGGCTGTCTGGGCTGCAACCATGTGCTGGCTGGTTCACAGAGGAGAAAATAGGGGCAGATCTGTCCAGGGATGTAGAACTGCAAGCTCATGGGACCCTGGAACCTGGGCCCATTCCTATATGTGATCACACAGCAACCAGGCTGGGCAGTGTGCTGACCACCTGTAACCATGCCTGTTTACAGCCCACTGGCTTTGCCATGAGCGCCTGCATGTCCTGCACCTCCACTATCCTTACTGTGCATGGTCAGTTCCACACCAGATGCTGTGACAGGAGTGATGGGCACTTGGTCTCCTCCAGAGGTGCTGCTTGTCCCCGAAGGCTGGGGTCCCCAGAAGCTCCACAGCCTTTGTGGTTTCATCATGTCATCCGTGAGACCCCTTCTCCTCTGAGAGCAGCTCCCTGCCCTGATCCCTGAGGAAGGATGTACTCCCAGAGTTGTTTCCATGGTTTCTAGTGTGGAAATCAGTCAGTGGTGGAAAATGGCCACCCACAGTAGAGGGAGGGTGGGGGCTCTGTGCTAGGGTCTTCCTGCAGGTTGTGGCCCGACCAGCCTGGAGGGCCCAGAGTCCTAGGAAGGACTCAGCCTAGCACTCCCCAGGGAGCTGGAGAACAGTGTCCCCAGAGACTCGGTCACTCCTCCTAGTACTGGGGGTGAGTCCTATCCCCATACTGCATTAAGTATAAATAGCCTTGCTCCTTACTCTTCAGATCTTCATGTTAAAACACCATGCTTTGCAGATGTTCCAGCTGAGAAGCCCGGTTTGGCCAAGTATCTAGAACACTTGGTCTTCAGATTCACCTGGGCTCTGCATAATTTATCTGATGATCCCTGAGCCCATGCCACATAGCTGGGACGACCATCATATTTGCTGTCTGATAAACATGAGGCACCTTATGGAGGGTCAGGTTGACTGATCACCATGGAATCATGTTCTTATAGCTTTAATGAGCCACAAGGTTATGCAGGTTTTCCCTGTGGATCACCTAGGCACCTCTTCTGGTCCACTTGCCATGGCTCTCAGCCCTCCCCTGAGGAAAGCCTGTCACAGCCAATGGGTGAGCCAGGTGGCCTCCCCTGCTGAGGGGATGAGCTAAATTTAAGAGAGGTGCAGACTAGGGTTCTCTGTGCCAGGTTGGGCCTAAGGTGAGATCCCATGTAGCCTGAATCCACTTGTAGTTAGGACAGGGGAAGGAGCTCCAGGTTTTACCCATCTCTCCCAGACTGTGGTGGCATCTAGGTGGCATCTACATTTCCTGCCTCTCTCCATGTCAGTCTGTGTCTTGCAGTCAGGAAAATGTGTCTGGTTGTGTCCCTTGCACACACAGCACTGGTGGCAGGAAGATTCAGTCTCCCTGAGTTTACAATCTGCACAGATGGAGTCTCTAGAGCCGGTGGAACTCACAGGATGACACTGAGGGCTTGGGGAGGAAGGGAGGCACATTTGGACAGATGCTCATGACAGGGTCTCATAGTATCAACTGAGCCCCCAACAGGATACCTCATTTTAGGCCAGCTGAGACAAAGTGTTCCTTGTGGCTTAGGTATTTCAGTTGAAAATTAACCATTGTGCTATGTTCAGAATCACACATCACCATTAAAGCCATTTGCCTCGGAAAAGCCCAGTATTCTCATGTTCCATGTGCCCTTGAGATGTTACCAGGTCCTGTTTGGTGTCCTGGAATATGATGAACCCCACAGTGGCTGGAAGCAAGCACTCACTAGCAGGTTCAGCTGCAGCATTGATTTCTGCTGAGTTCTAACTTCTGGTCTTGGCTCCTTTTCTGAAAGCAAAAAAACCTGAAAATCTCTGAAAAGTTCCACCCAAGTAACACGACTGGACTGTTGTTCATGAAGAGAAGCAGTTCTGTTGATGGTAATGACCACAGGCACAGAGTGGGAGCTGACATAGGTTTGCAAGGTGAACAAGGAGTTGTTTTTACCACCTTGATTCAAGGTCTCCACTAAGTCAACAGGAGGCATTTGGAGCACAATGCAGGGTCTGATGACGCCATGAAGGTCACAGGCCACTATCTGCTTGGTGGCCAGGAAGGTGAGACTTCTTAATCTTAGAGCTGGCTGCCATGTGTCTCAGTCTCTTCACTTGTCCCATCCGGATGGCTCTGGTGCTGAACATTCATGGACAACTTGGCTAGTGAGGCCTGGGCTTTGCCAGTAGCCTCTGGGCTTCCTCTACCAGCTCTCCTTCAAGAAGTTTTAGTAAAATACACACTTTTCTAGCTTTTTGAGGTCCAATTCCAGCAGCACATATCATTATTAGGTAACTGGGTAAGGATGGTTCCCCCAAACTTGTGCTGTATACTAACACCTGCAGGTGATCCTGGCTTCACTTTATAGCTGTGCGTCCTCCCAGGACCCCCACACAGAAGCTTCTGTAGCCAGGAGAAGTGGGCTTGGGGCTTTGCCCATGGAGGCTGAAACTCCAGTGAGAAAGTCACTGAGCCAGGTTGGTGTTCTGGCTTTCATGGTACCTACATGGGAAGGTGCCCATGGCATGGAGATCAGGAGATGGCCAGCATGAGGAGAGGCAGAATTATGAACATCTCTCTAAAGACAAGCTGAATATTTATTACATACCAAGTAGCACCACACAGCCATTCCTGGGCTAGGGATCCCAGGAGCAGTACACATAGCAGGCACTCATCAAGTGCACCCCACCGTCGAGAGCAAGGTAGCAGCAAGTGCCCAATAGAGCCCATGCACACCAGGCATAGAAGCCTCTGCCTGGAATCATGAGGGCAGCTATGGGACCAGTGGCTGTGGGATCTCAAGGGGGACACTGTTGCCCAGGGAAGCAGGACATGAAATGTGGCCTTACCAGGATCATGTGGCCGGTGGAGATGTCCATGTTGGATTGCACAGGCTCCTCAGACCAGGAGGAGGTGCTGCTCCGTGCTGAGGGACTGGGTATGGGCCCGTCGCTGAACTGCGAGGAGACACTGCTGATACGGGAAGCATGTGGGCCTTCTGGCCGATCAGGAGGGCGCACGGCCATGCGCTGGCGGCACAGCTCCTGCAAGACAGTGAGAGGCATCAAGGCATGGTCTTTTGTGCCTTGCTAAGCATCACAGTTCACACAGACCAAAGGCCACCAGGTAGCCTGGGGTCACCCTGGGTCCTGGCACTGAGTTTCAGGTGCTCCCAACCTCCCCATGAGCCACAGACTGGTTCTGAGCACAAATGCCTACATGCACACACATAAGTGTGGACACACACAAATGCACACACTTGCAAACTCAGAAGTGGCCTCAGCCTCCTACATAAGTTAGGGATCCCCTTGCTCAGGAGAACATCAGCCATGGGGTGAGGGCAGAGAACATGTGCAGAGCACAGAATCTCACTCCCCAAACAGTTTCCCAACTGAGGGCAGCCTGTGGGGACCTGGGCCTGGTAGTGCCACACCTACTGCCATTGACCATGCAATTGGGGTCTGGCTGGAGGTTGCTGTCCCTCTTGCCAATGCAGTAGCACTACCAGCCCCAGCTCCCGCTCCAGCTCCAGCTCGGTGGGGAGGAATACCACAGGTGTTCAGGAGACAGGGACGATGACCGTAAGAAAAAAAAGACCGCCATGAGGACAAAGGGAACAGAAAGAAAAGAGCAAGCCATGCCTGCACTTCTGCTTCCTCCCTGTCATGAGTTTTCCAATGCTTGTTGGCTTACACAGAGACTTTTAAGAAGAAATTAATTTTAAAAATCTCTATTCCAGTGCTAATGCTCAAATGCAAGGCAAACAAAAGCCCATCCGAGAATTCTGTAAGGCAGGTGACACACCTGGGTGCATGCAGTCTCGCCTGCCTCCCACTTGCACCATGGAGTGATTGGATGGGGTCAGGATGTGGGGATAGGGGCTGCCCAACCTCCGTGGCTATGTGCACTGCACCTAGAACAGCAAGGACAAGCGAGGCACAGAGCCAGCCCCTGCCCAGGTGAGGAGAGCTGAGGAAGTCCTCCTGGAAGTAAGACCCAGGAGGGGTGAAATGTTTGGGATTCCTCCACTGAAGGTGAAAGTGGGAGCAGCCATTTGTCACCAAGTGTATCACCATGCATAGCCCAGCACCATGAAACCCAATGGGGAAGGAAGCCCCAGTGTAGGGTTCACTGCTTTACATGAATTTGGCAAGTCATTAGGGTCTCTAATCCCATTTTTTTCACAGATACCAATATAGCTGTGAAGATCAGAAATTCACGTGTATAAGATGTTTGGCATTGTGCCTGCTACAACACAAACCCCTGACTCCAGCCAGTGACCTTGCTCAGTGTCAGTGCAACAAAAACCAACAGAATGAAAACTAAACCAGAAACCTGAGGGGTTAGTGAACTCAAAGTCATCTCAAGGGCACTGGGACATGAATGTGGGAATGCTGATGGCTGCGAGCTTACACCTGCCTTGGGTGGGACTGTGGGCAGGTGGGCGACAGCATCAAGCTGTTTTGGACCCTGGAGAGCACAGTTGGCCCTGTTCCATGAGGACTGACTATGGGTTCTCCAGTAGCCTTTAAATTTTGCATGCTTTTCAGGGCCAGGGATTTAGTTCAGTGGTGCCGCTGCTTGCAAGCGCAACGTCCCGCATTTGATCCCCGGTAGACCCCCCCAAATAAATAAATAAATAAATAAATAAATAAATTGTGAATTATATTCATAAATTTTTTTTTAAGAGCACATATTGGCTAAACAGATCAGGAATTACATTTTGGCAGATTTGTCCTTGTACATAGCATACTTTAGCTACCACCCATGTGGGTTTTTATCGGTTTTAAAATGGAAAGGGGAAGACCTCAGGAAAGTGCCCCCAGGAGCAAGGAGTCCCACACAGTGCTAGCTGGGAGAAGCCATGCAGCCTGGCTGAAGGATCCCAGGAGGGAACACTGGGAGCTGTTCCCATGTGGGACTCCACCCCTGTGGGCTCAGGGGCACCTGCTGAGGGGCAGATCCTGGCCTGACTACACCAGGTCTTGGTCCTGAGACGAGAATCTCAGGATGCCCCCCTGAGAGGGCAGGGTTGGTGCTGGGCTGATGTGCACCTCAGGTCCTGTTCTCCACTCCACAGGCTCAGCAGCTTGGGATGGCAGACATGATGGCCACATGCCATGGCCTCCAGAAGAGTGGCACCTCCATGAAGCTGCCTGAGACTAGACACCTAGTTCATCCACAATGACAAGGAACCCGGAGCCTGTGCACCTGCCTCTGAACCCTGGTGTCGGCATGTGCTGGTTGTGTGGTCTGGGGAAGCTGCCCACCCTCTCTGTCCATCTCCTCCCTGGTAGAAAGATGGTATCAGGCCAACCAGAGTGTACAGTGGCCTCATGAGGGATCTGGTCATGAGTCCACACTGACTCCAGCAGCAGCTGATGTAAGATGCAAACTTGGCCACCAACCACCACTGAGTGCCCTTTGGGGTGAGCACAGCCAAGTCCCTGCCAGCCACATTTTCCCTTGGGATCCTCACAGGCCCAAGAGGCTGCAGCATGGACTTTGCAGCTCCTACAGCAGGGCCAGGTGGACAGCTCAGCTCCAGGATGTGCATGGGAGTTGGGGCCTTTCCTATGTTCCCCTCGCACACCTGGCTCATGCAGGGACCAATGCAGGGCAGCTGCGTATGTCTGTGGCCAGTGCACATTCCAGTGTCTACTCCTCAGCAGCGAGGAAGAGGCCAATGCATGTGAACACGAACAGTTTCACTCGGAGAAGGGCTGCTCGCTTCCATCTGTACCTTGCTGCCTGGATCTTGGGACCTGCAGCTCTGGAGAGGCCTGCTTGGCCTGGGCACCTGGCTCTGGCCTTTTGGCTATGTGGCCTCTCTGGTGTGTTGGGAGAAAGCCAGATGCAAATTATGTCAAGCTCCCAGGGAGAAGATGGTAGACAGTATGGAGGGGGATGCACAGGCGGCACCGTTGCTGTTGCTGTCCATGGTTACAACACTCTACTCTTGGGAAGTGCGTGTGTGTTTTAAAAAAGTCCCACAGCAATGAAATTCATTACTGGGAGAGAGGATGGGCCCAGGGCAGAGCCAGGATGTGCTCAAAGCTCTAGTGTGATGTGGTGGTTCAGGGCAAGGACTCTGTGGCTAGACTGTTCAGTCAGAACCCCAGCTCTGCCACTCTGTTCCTAAGCTTGATGGCTCTGTCCAGTGACCTGTGAAGTGGGATCTATGTGTGTCACTCCTGTGAGACCTGAGGCACTTACACTCTGCCCAGCCAGGTCTTAGGCCTCTCACAGCCTCCCTGAAGGCTCACCACCAACTGGGGATCCAATTTTAAATGTCTTCCTTTCAGACACTGTAGCCACCCTGCCAGATCTGCAGGGCTGTCCCACTGTGCCAGTTCCCAGGGACACAGCACAGCCAGTGTGATTCCTGACCACCTCACTCACATGAGGAGATGCCCTCTTCATTCCCAGGGCAGCTAGAGTAACTCAGGTTGCAAGACAATGAGAGCAGCCTTCCCCACAATCCTCCCCAGGTAAATGCTCTGTTACTAAGCAAACGTGAAGCTTGGGCCACACTGCGTGAAACATCCAAAGAGTGTACCATATACCAAGCATGGCAAGACAAAGAGGATTGTCCCAGGGGCCAAACTCTCCTCTGGGAACACAGGAGAGGCTGATCTCTGATGGCCTGGTATAGCCTCCAGGGCCAAAATTCAGACTGCAGGATCCCAGGGCCTCTGAGTTCCCCACCACCCCCTGTACCAGAGTATTGGGCCACTTGGATTGGCAAGGCACACATCTTCCATGCAAATCCTTGGGGCACAGGCATGCCGATTAAGCAAACAGAGGCACACATACACATTGGATACCATAGTCATCACATTCTGCATGACCGCCTGCCTCTGCTGCATGCTGAGCCGAGCCCTGGGAGGCTTCTGCAGCGCCCTTGAAATATTTTCGACTGCTTTATAGCACAATTTGCAAAATAAGTTGAATAGGATTCTGGGGGCAGAAATTCATCCATACACACAATAATGCAAATGTCTCATTTCTCAACTCTACATCTGATGGGGGAAAATTACAGAGAGCAGGATCACTCTGAGAGAAAAGACCTGTCATTCTTCAATTCTGCCAAAAGAAAGACCAAGACTACAAAGGCTCAAGAAAAGCTCTCCGCACCTTTCGAGGAACAATCGGAACAAAGCTGTGCGTTGCCTAAGTATGCACACAAAGGACGCCTGGAATTTTTAGGGTTATTTGTGGAGCATAATTAGCAGTAACAGGACAAAACTAAGGAACAGACACACAAAGCCACGGAGGAAAAAATGGTTCATTAGGATGTGCTGGGCGGGATAAAGGCCAATTACTTCCAGGCAGGATAAAACATGCGGGGGGGCGGGATGTTGCACAACCCAGGGCCCAGGCTCCACAGTGCAGTGCACTTGCCATGCAAATGGCTGCAGGATGGTCCTGCGATGGCTCGAAGGCTGAAGAGCACACGACTGCAGGGACGTTCGTGTCACAGAAAGTCAGACTGACTAATGCAAGGGTGGGTAGGCAGAACCTCACAATGGCAAGAGCCAAGTTATTTATTAGGGACTTGATCATGGGTGGAATTAAAGGTGGTTTTTACTTTAATTTTTATTTTGCTTAACTGGGCAGTTTTTACTTCTGTAATGAGAGAAAAACAAAAACAAAACTAGGTCCTTTTAAAACACGCAGTTTGACATTCAGTGCTACTAAAACGAAGTGTTGGCAAGCACGGATGGGAAGGGCCAGGCAAAGGCTTCTGTCCTGTGATGAAAGAGGCTCCTTGCATAACTACCCTCCTCATCCAAAACAGGTCCATTCAAGCAGCTTTGTGTCACCGTAAACCATAAGTGTCAGGGGCAGTGCCACCTTGTGCACAGCCCAAGCTACGATGGCATCTGCTTTCTTTCTGTGTATAATCCCACTGTAAAATCTGTGAGGAGCCCAGGGCCATGGTCCTATGGACACACCAAGAGAGGGGTCAGGACCCAGGACCACACTTCTCCCTGCAGGGCACATGGCTGGGCCACAGAAGCACACAGTCCAGAGTGGGGGC